TAGGGAAGTACACGGGGAGCCCCTGAAGGTGGCTGCAGAGTTCCTAAATGATCACAGCAGCCTGTGCCAGCCCGGCTGCCTCCCACCACCGTCCCATCATCCCTGGCAGCTGGTATCGATGACTATTCTAGCAGCTGCTTGCAATGATGGGACAGAAAAGTGAGACGTCTTAATGAAAAGTCCTGTAGGGAGGAAAAACACTTTGTCAGATAAACATTTTTTTCTAACATCAGTATTACTGAACTTGTATTTTTCTCCTTTTTTTTGTATGTCATTATTTAATTAGGGACCTTTGACTTCATGATGGAAGGAAACATTTCTCTGGCTGTCAAGATTCAGGCTTCTCCCAGTGTGAGGATTTGTCAAGGCTGAGAGACTCTGGATTATCTATAAACCTTCCCTGAAATACACAGCTGCTCTTCAGTTTCCCCATTGTGAGGGGTCTTGGAGCAGATACAAAGATGGCCTCCAGCCTCACCTGTGCTGGTGTTGTCTGGGCTTTCCTCTCCTTCCTTTGTGCTGCCACCTCCTGCGTGGGGTTCTTCATGCCCTACTGGCTTTTGGGGTCTCAGCTGGAGAAGTCGGTTTCCTTTGGCACTTTCCGGAGGTGTTCGTACCCAGTGCGGGATGAGAGCCGCCAGACGACCGTGATGGTGGAGCAGTGTGGCCGCTACGCCTCCTTCCAGGCCATCCCGAGCGCTGAGTGGAGGATCTGCACGGTGGTGACGGGCCTGGGCTGCGGGCTGCTCCTCTTGGTGGCCCTGACAGCGCTCATGGGCTGCTGCGTGTCTGAGCTCATCTCCAGGACTGTGGGCCGGGTGGCAGGAGGCATCCAGTTCCTGGGGGGTAAGTGCTCATGCCGGGAGGGGATGTTGGTTTATATGTGTGGAGACTCCTCTGATGCTTTGGGATGAGGAAGGGGGTGAGTCAAAACTTTTTGCTGGCGAAGGAGACCACTTGGCTCCCTTGATGCTTGAGCTGGTTGTCTGGACGCCTGAGCGTGGCCCAAAACCGCAGCCACCAGTGGTCATTCTCACGTGCTTAAGTCCCTGCCCAGTGGTTGTGCAATCTTTGGGAGTTGCAGGACAAGCCGACTTCTGTGGGCCAGCATCTTTGCAGCAGTTCTGTGGGCTGTAGTTTCCAGCAGAGTTCTACTGGGATTGAAGTACCTGGAGAAGTGTGAGGGCTGCATTGCCCCATGGAACTTGGCAGTTTTGCAGAGGAGATGCTGTGTTATGTGTGAACAACCATTTTTGTTTGTCCTTCCTACCTTCATCAATGGCACAGCTCCCTCCACCTCTGCTCTCTGCAGCTGTGTGGATCTGGCAACAAGTCTGTGGCACTGGTTTGAAGTGGAAATTGTTTATCTGTGGTGAAGCTGGCCCACCTTCTCCCAGGAGTTCTGCTGCGCTGTCTGACCCATGCTGCCCACTGATGGTGCTGCAGGTTTGTTGAGTCCACGGGCTAGATGGTGTATGGGAGAATTACCTCTCCTCCTTTTCTTTAGCTTGTAATTGTACAGAGTATTTGTAACTGTGGAGTATTTGAAGGGTATGAGATAATAAACAGGATCCTCAAGTGGGTTTTTTATAGGGCAGTTTTCCCAGTAAATCATCACTCTCTTGTCATCGGTGACATGTGGCTCAGTGGCACTCACTTTCGCCTGGTGCAAGTGCTTGACCACCCGCGCATGCTCACCCCTGTAAGGGGACGTGTTTCCCTGATTTTTTGGTGCTGCGGCATGGCGGATACCAGTGTTTTGGGTGACCTGCAGTGTCTGGTCCCAGCCAGAGAAGAGCAGGCTGCAGCAGGACCCCCACCTCTCCTCTCCAAGCAGAAACTTGCCCCCACAAGGGCAGTCTGGATACATGCTGAGTCTGCAGTCCTAAGGAAGCCCAGGACAAAAACTCTGCTACTTTCCAGCTCAGGGTGGACAACTGAGGCAAGAAAAGGGCTCTGTGCCAAGCATCTAGCCAGGCGATGCTGGCGTAGCTCCCTGCCAGCAGTGGGGAGCCCTGCCTCCAACTTTTTGAGGAGTTCCTGCACTTAAGAGCAAGCTGACCCTCCCTGTCGCTTTACCCTTCCCTCAGCTTTGCGACAAAAAGTGTTTAATCTGGCTGACAATTTGAAAGTGCAGCAGCTACTGGAGAGTTAACTCTGCTGGGAGCTGCAGCTTCTTGAAGCCTGCTCCATTATACAACTCCAGCCAGGCAGCTGGAGGGGGTGGAGGGGATTTTTGGTTTGGTGACACTCTGCAAGCCTTCTCAGTCTGGCTATTTTCACTTAAAGCTATCACAGGCCTGTGCTTTACCACCTCCCTCTCTCCAAATGCTGGCTCAGCTGGTTTTAATTTGCATTTGGCCCCTTTCTCCTGGTCATGCTCCCCTGCCTGCCTGCCCCTGTGTCTGCTTACAGACACGGCAGCAATTGTAGCTGCTCCAGTGGTGGGCAGCTGGCCGGGGGATGCAGGAGGAGCCTGATCCCCTGTGAAACCGCAGTGGGTTGAAGGTATGCACACCTCTCCAAGGTGGGGTGGTGGCTCCTGTGCAAGGAGGTGAGAGGTGCCTTCAGACCACACCACGGCAACCCCTACACCTTGTCCCAGCTGACCAGGCAGCATCCCATCCTGCCTGGAAGGATTTAAGCAGGTGGTGCGTGTCCTTGGTTAGGTGACAACTCAAAGAAATGTGAACTCATGGTATGGAAAGAAAATTGCCAACAACTTTGCTTACAGTTCAGAAATTAGTTACACAGCATGTCTAATTTTCCCCTCTACTGGCTTTTATGGTTGTCTCTCACTTCACTCAGCACTGCTGGAATTGTGTAAGAAATGAAGAAAGTGAGAACTCATAATTTCTTAACCTGCTTAAAACCCAACTGTGAGGATACGAAGGAGAGGCCAGGAGGTGCAAGCCAATAATTTGGATGAACTGAAGGGATGTATTAGGGTAAAGATTGGATCCTTACATCCTTTATCAGGTCCTTAGCTGCTATAAATCAATATAGCTTCTCTGTTTAAATGATATGACTACATTTATTCAGATGCCTAACGTAGGCACTGTAATTATTAGGTTGTTTTATGTCAAGATATCTATGAGCTGTTCACCTTATTTACTGACTGGGAATGCCAGTTCTTTGTTCCTTGTGCTACAGTTGTAGGTTTAGTTATATACCACAATGAATGCTTTGAATATGGCTCAGTGGCAGTACAGTGATTTTCATTTTAATTGTCCTTTACTTGGAGATGTAACCAAATAAAACCCGCACAAATATTTTTTTTTTTATTGCAGAAAAGAACCCTCTCCTATCTTTGTATGAAAAAAAAGCCTAGGGAAACAAGCAGCCCACTGAGTGATGGTATTAGTTCATTCTCTATGTTAGAACAACGAGACGGCTAGATGGTTTCACTTTTTGTTTTCATCCGAGTCACCTGCACCGACACCCGGCTCCAGCGACAGAGAATGAGCGTTGGAATAAACTGAATTTCTCTTGAAGTTAAAAACCAGCATAAAGGCATGATCAGTGTAGCTAGTTTAGGGCTTTAGTGGTGTTCCATTAGTCTAGGATCCAAGTAATTTTCTCAGCATGATTTAAAAACACAGACTTGATGAGGAACTAAGCCAGTTTACAACAGACTATTATGGGAGGCCCAAGCGTGGGTGAGATGCACAAGTTCCTGGAGCTGTGGTGAGCCAAGGCACTAAGATAGCTGAAAGTAACTTACTCTATAACACTGGAAGGATTTCTACTGCTGTGAAGAGGTGGCAGAGAGGTTTGCTTACCAGAGGTGATAAGCAAGCAGCCTGATCCTCTTCGTCTAGTAGCATGAAGGAGGAGTAACTCCAAGTAGGTCAGTGGAATAACACCTGTATAAAAGTAGTGCAGCTTGCTCTAGCTAAACGGTGCCAAGGTTTTACAGCTGGGATTTCCCCAAGTTGTATGTTGCAACTCACAGGAGTGAATTATTCATGAGTGCTTATACCATAAATCTGCTCTTCTCATAAAAATTGAATAGCAGAACCTGCAAGAAACTGCAGATCGACACAGAGTTAGAAGGGCTCTTTTGGTATTTGTTGATCTCATGTACTTAGCATATATTTGCTATTGCAGATGATCCTGTATTTTATCCATGTATTTTAAGATGAGTCTGGGATCCTTTTTCTAAGGCAATTTGGTGGTGAGAGACAAGAAGTAGCCAACACCCCAAGGCCCATCCGTTTCTGCAGTGGCTGTCAGTGGGCAGCAGCCCATGGCTGGCACACTGCTGCTGTGGTGTCTCAGAACCTGCTTCGTGGACATTTCTGTTGGATTGCTTCTAAAACTGACAGCTGAGGTGAAAGTTATGCTGTCTGTAACCTCTTGAGGGCACAGTTATGTAGATGGATACAGACTTCACTGATAACACTAAGTGCAGTGTTTCCAGCTGGTTTCTTTTGAATGTTTGGAAGACTGAGGCATATATAATGTAGCTCAAACAGATTGCAAGGATGTATCTTTGACCATAACTATTGAAGGCATGACAGCAGGACGTGAAGTTTAACAAATCTATGGCAAATTGGAGTCTGTAATTATTGATCTTCTTTTCACTGTGCCATGGCAAGTCAATTCCACTTAAATGGGGAGACTAGAAATTTGCAGGTAGGTAGCTCAGATATGACATACTAATTTTGTGAGTAGTGTCACCCTCTGAAAGCAGAACAACGGTTTTAAGAACATAGCTGTAATGTTAAGAACGTAATGAACTTAAAGGTTAGCCAGTTTTATGAGAGGCAGTGGATCAAAAGACACAAGTATGCAAGGATGGTCAATTTAAAGAGTATTATGCTGGCAAAGTGAAGCTTTTCATTAAAATGGTCAGCACACAGGTATTATAGATGAAACCTACACTAGCTCTGAACTCCCTTTGGCTGCATAGGACAGCTAAGCCAAGCTCAGAGCAGTATGAATCCAAGGTAACAGAGCATGAAATAACCTGCTGACTTAGGCACCTCCCTGAACCTGACACTTTGGCCCTGATTCTGAGTGGCATGTGAGAAGTGAGCCTTCCCCATGATTACGGGGTAGCCATATGATTTGTACAGTCATCAACTGTTCTCCAGTAAAGCACAAATTTCTCTACTCCCTTCAGTAAATGAGCAAAGTTTTCAGCAGCACCTTATTTCCCTTTCCTCATTTCTCTATCTTGTTTCCCTTTCGTCTCATGGGTGCACTGAAACTCCTGAAGCTATGGTCCTTGTATTGCTGGTTAGAAAATCTGCTCTTGAAGTAGGGAGTGATGAAAGGAGCATTTGATAACTTGAGAAAAAAAAGGACACAGATCCTAGTAACTTCTGATTTTGCCTCAGGAAAAAGAAAAAAAAAGTGGCCTTCTGCAAAAAGCTCTCAGCATCACATGAAATTGCTGCAGAATCCTTCTCTAAGTGTCCTAGACCAATAGTTTCCATCACCCAGAGCCCAGTGTGCTCAGGGGAAGTATTTGCTGGATGCAGAGGGCAGAAGAATGAGTGCTTTATCAAGATGAGGAGAACATTGAGTGTGAGGTGATGGCTCTGTGTTGTTTGTGCTGAAATCGTAGAGAAAACCTTTGAAATTTTTGGCTAGAGATTTTAAAGAGACAAATCCAAAGGAGATCTGCAAGTTGTTAGCATATTAGTGGCTGAATCTGACTTTGCAGGTGAGATGATGGAGGTCTAAAATGTAGGAGGTAGAGATGGGAAGATCACTAGGTCACAGCACTGTGAGACCATGTAGAGAAGTTCTCCCTCAAAGGAAATGCTTGGGGAAACAGTTAAAGAGGCAAGAGGATGCCCTTGTGAGAAGTGAGTCATTGAACCTAAGTAATTTTT